CCCTTTTCCACAAAAATGTTTGAAAAAGAAAAATTATTTTAAAAAGTTTGCAATAGTCATAAAGACCATTTAAAAAATGTAGCACAAGGCTCTGTGATGCCTCCAATAGTGGGGGGGGGGTTCCTCCACAGAGTTTAAGTTTTTTGAAGATGTCAAGCAAACGCAGACAATCCGACGCAGACGCTAAGCAACGACAGGAAACATGTAGTCCAAGCTTTTTTTTCCTTTTTTTAACTCTAACCGTTAACTTTAACATCTACCGGACAGTTTTGAGATTTCTTCGAATGACGTTGCCATGGCAACACAATTCTCGCAATGAAACACGGTTTTCTCATAACTTCAGTGAAAATGCTCCAAACGGTAACGATGCAGCCATCAACGCATCTATGCGTATTATGGGATGTCATCAAATGCCGTTGGCATGGCGACAGATAATTCACCATCAAGTTAGTTCAAAAGTTTGAAGTTCAAATATTCTACTGCTTTTCAAAGCCTTTTTACTTTCTTTTCTTCTCTCATCACACATTCAAGCCCCCAGTGTTCAAGTACCATTTCTAAATTATTCACTTTCTTCTTGCACATTACTTTTCAACATAGCAGTTTAGTGTCAGCTTTTCAGCATAAAGCATTCCCACTTGCAATTTCTTCAGGAATTGCATTCTCTAGTTTGTAAATGTTGCACTCCAGAGTGAGAGCAGTGACTTGCATCAGTGTGTTGTAGTACCTCAGGATTCTCTTTCCTCAGGTTCAGCTCCTTCACCTGAGCCATGACTCACATTTTAATAAGTAGTATCCATGCTGGCCTAAAGGCTATAAAGGTCTGTTGTTTTAATACGCGCCCAGACGTAGCATCACAGACGAGGGAGACAGAATCACAGCGAGGTTGAGAGGGAGCTTCTAGGGTCGTGAATCTTACAACATTTCCTGGAGGCCACATTTGAGTCCTTCCACACTGTGCCTCGACGACAGGAAATGTGAACATGGATTTGTGATTCAGCGCTGTGTGATGTAAGGCTGCCGCAATCCTGCTGCGGGTGCTCTCATCTGTAGAGCTGTGACAAGTGCTAAGGCTGGTGTAATGTACATGCATATTTCTGCACATTTCCCTTAGATCTTTCTTGGTTTTTCACCGTCTCTTGCTTACTCCTCAAGTTTATTTTTAGTCTCAACTAAAGTGAGAAAAGCAAGAAAAAAGAACACACTTTGAACCTTCAATTCATCCTCTTTACCCTTGAGACTGCCTTTTCTCCCACTCTCCATTCTGCCATCACATTTCCCTTTTGTGGCCCCCCCCCCTCTCCTTCATATATTCTGCTGCTGCCACCACGGTCATTTTCTCCACATTAAAGGAGTGGGTGAAGGGTGTAGAGAGCGACCTGTGGAAAGGAGAGAAGGAAGGGGGAGAGATGGCGATACAGTACAGTAAGATTGAGAGATAAGGGTGAAATGTAAAGAACGAGGAGGGGGGCAGTGCGAACGAGAGAAGACCTCAGGGATGGGTTATTACTTTTAAATGCTCCTCTGCGCCTCCATGCTCCCCCTTTCCTCCCCCAGCGTGCTCCAGCAGGAGGAGGTATGAAAAGGTTATTATGTTTCCTTTAGAAATGTCTCGCTCTCCGCCTGCACCTTTCATCTCCAAATGGAAATAACCTCTCTACAGTAGCTTTCTTCCTTTCCCTCATTACACCTGCATCTCTCTTTCCGGTACACAACACCTGCTCCTTTTCTTTTACCTCTTCCATCTGACTCTTGAGTCCGTCTCTGTTTGAGTGTAATCAGCGTGCAGTAGGAGCATGCATTATCAGCCAGTGCATTAGATACGCTGCGTCGATCGCCAGCGATCACACGCAGCACTTATTATGTAAAGCAGGTATTAGGGGGTGCATTTCAAGAACTAAGGGTTTTAAATATGTCTTGGTTTTCAGAAAGGTGAAGAGGAAGGCAGCCTGGTGCTGGAGGACGGCAGGGAGCAGCTGATGTACGAGATCCCGCTCAATGAGTCTGGATCCGCTGGACTCGGGGTCAGCCTGAAGGGCAACAAGTCCAGAGAGACCGGGGAGGACCTGGGTATCTTCATCAAGTCCATCATCCACGGAGGGGCCGCCAACAAGGTACAGGATCCTCAAGTGGTGTCTGCAATAATGATATCTATTTATTTATATAGCACTTTCCGTACACAACGGGTAACACAAAGTGCTTCACAAACAAAAACAAAATAAAAGCTGGTAACCCCTCTCCATATAAAGCTTCCTATATATTCCCACAATGCTTCATTCGGTTTCTACCATCACAGAGTGCTTTAAAGAGCTCCTTACAAACATCAAATATGAGTTGTGAGAAGTATTGCAGAAACATTTTCAATCTAGTCAAGGTTCTTTGTGCTTGAACCACAAAGAAGCCTTTTTCTTGTGGTTTTGATCTTTCTCTTTCACCTTCATCCGTCCACACTCCCCCCTTTCTTTACGATGTCGTTTCCTCTCTTCTCCTTTTCCTCTACTCGCTTCTCATCTCATTTCCTGTCTTTCTGCCTCCGCCCGGCTTTCCCCCGGCCTTTTGACTCCCATTGACCCCCAGTGGCCTCGCCGCCTCAGCGCTGCAGCGGCCTTATCTAAATCACTCAGCGCTCACTTCAAGTTGTGAGAGCATCAGGAGAGAAACACATCCCGTTTCAGCGCTTTGGAGATCCCTAGTCCTCGTCCCCCTCGATGCTGCTCCCAGATCTGCACCGCAGGACGAGGAGGCGCAGAGACGAGTGTGGCGCACCAGATAAACTGGTCTGGGATCAGGAGCGGCTAGACAGCAGCTCCCCAAAGTGCCTTCAGAAGTAGTTTCTTTCAGACAGCTGCCGGCGCGGATAGTAAGATCTCCGGCTGGCTGCGAAACAGGTTTCTGGGACAAGATACCACATAAGAGGAAGAACGACACGGAGGAAGAGAGACGGACTGTAGGGAGGGAGGGAAACCATTGAAAGAGAGACAGCAGGAGTGAGAGGAGGGAATGAGCGGTATCGAACAAAAGAGAGATGGAAATTGAAAAGTGGAGACACTCAGCATGAACACAATGCATAAGTGTGTGTGTGTGTGTGTCCTCCTCGGTGTCGATGTAAAGCAGTTGAGGACCCAGCCTGATGAGGCTTCTCGGTGCAGAGGAGGGAACCCGGGCGTCCCCCGAGTCTCACACACACACACACACACACACACACACACACACACACACACACACACACACACACACACACACACACACACACACACACACACACACACACACACAGACACACAGACACACACACACACACACACACACAGACACACAGACACACACACACACACACACACACACACACACACACACACACACACACACACACACACACACACAGCAGGCAGAAGAAGGGAGGAGACGAGGAAGAGTCATGGAGAGATCTAACCTATTTCCATTAAAGAGTGTGTGAGCTGCTGCCGGGGGCCCGGGGCCTCAATTATATCCTCAAAAATCTTCCCGGGCTTTCTCCCTGATCCTGTCATACCATCATATCAAAGCTAAAAGAAAACAAATTAAAATGACATCTAGCGGAGAGGAGATGTTAATAGGAAAATCCCAGACACGCTGATTTTGGCACAAACATCAATTTTTCATTACACACTCGGATGTGTGTG